CGAGAGTGGAGTTAACAAAAGGACTTGTTTAAGAGACTCAAAATTTGCACTTTTGAAGTCGAATCGCTTCAGGCGAAAAACGTCTTTAAAATTTACATCCACAGCAAAGTCAAAGAAGACGGGAAAGTGATGCGATGAAAGTTGACTGTCTCTAAACTGGGGATCAGTTTTAGGGTCGAACATAAGGGAAGGGGTGTTTGTTAGAACGCGATCCAAGATGTTGTTACTTCTAGTAGGTTGCTCTACTGATTGAAATAAATAAAAATCCATCAACAAATTTGCAAAAGAAGAATCATCACCAGATGATCCAAAGCCTGACCCTTCTATCCACTGTATGCCAGGGAAGTTCAAATCCCCTACTACGATAACATAGTAGTATCGATGAAAATCCAAGGATCTTAGAGAGCCAGCGAATTGCTGAATAAATTGTTGATAGTTGTCAGGAGGGCGATAGCAGTTTATAGTAGGACACTGCGATCGTACTTTAGGTTTGATATTTCAACAACAACTATTTCTAAACTTGAAAATTCTGACGGAACTTTATGGAGAGTCGAAGACAGTGTACTTTTGATTGCTGTCATAACTCCACCACCAACTCTACCAACATGATCACATCTATAAATGTTATACGCAGTAGACAATATCTCGTGATCCATGATTGATTCGTTTAGCCATGTTTCAGTAGCCTGCGTAGCGACCCTAGAGGGAGGGGGGAAGGGGGTGGGGAGCCGAGCGGAGAGAGGCTTGGGGAGAGGAAAGGAAGGGCCTGCCAGCGACCCCGCGGATTCTACGAAACTCCCACCGATTAATTATGCGTATCGCGTTTCGAATGTCAATCATAAACTGTCAAAACTATCCAATTACGAAGCGCCATTTTAAGACGTACGCCAGTGAAGCATGGAAAATACTAAAAAAGCAGAGCACTGACCCATGCAAACAGTCAAAACACTGGCCGCACGTGAATGAAAATGTCGGACGACAAGGAAAATTTCAAAGAAAAACCTATCTACACTTTTTGCAAGTTTTATGAACTCTTGAAAAAGGCTTCGTGTCCATCTTCGGTTGAGAACTCGAGCTCTAATTCAATATATTGGTCGTAAGTGTTATTTGGTAAACAGAACACAAAAATTTAGTTCGCGAGCGGCTCGGAATTCCGCTCGTATTGATCATTTGCACATCAAGTATTCGAACTTTACTTTTTCTTACCTCAGGCGAGTCCAAGTTTGAATCGTGTGTGATTCACTATCAGAGCAACTGTTCTGGACGCAAATCCCTTATCTTTATCTTTAAGGAAGTTTGTGAAACGTTCATCGATTGCACTCTCGGCCGAAGCGTATACCAGATCAACTTGTGATAATGAATCCAAATTATCGAGAACTTCGGTTAGATTACAACCAGTTAAACCAGGAGATTTAAGTTCGAGTATTTGATCCTGTATGATGCTTGTAAATGGAGTTATAAAGAACACAGCGGGCCGTTTATCGTCGTTGGCCTCGAAGCGTGCAAGCAACACTAGAGCTTGGAAAATTAAACTTTTTCCAAACCCAGTCGGCAAAATAGCTCCAAGATCCTTTCTGACGTAGAGCTGTTCCAAAGCTTGGTGCTGGTCGTTTATCAGATTGATTCCGCGTTATTCTAGGATGCCTGTTTCTTATCACTTTCACGGCTGAGTGACAGTTATTTGATCTCG